GTGGGGTTTTTATAACCAAGCTGATATTGCTTGTTAATGCTTTTCTCTTAGCTCTTCAGGGATTTTTAGCAGCTAGACTCCTTTGGCAGGCTAGAGGTTGCATGCTGGCTAAGAGCATGCACTCAAATCACAAACTTCCTGGTTCAGATTCTTTAGAGCAAGTTCTTTAACCTCTGTCTCTTAATCCTTATATGTATAAAATTAGAATCATTATACTTGCATTCTTGTGTTGTTTTAACTAGTATATATGATAGACTAGGACAATCGCTGCTATCCTTAAGCAATAGTGTGATATCTGTAATTGTTATTGAAAGTTAAGTGGATGTGTAGGATGATGCTTCTTGCCAGAAGGAAATATTAACTTCTGGACCCTGAGATTGAGGCCCCAAAGTCAGTCCATCAAATTCTTAAGTGTATTAATAGTCAAAACTGGCTACATGCTTGAAACTAGACACTTTTCGTTCATTAAGGGAGCTTTTGTGAAGGAGTTGAACTCATGTCTCTCTGAAAGCAGGATGCCACTGCAAAGCTGGAGGTGGGGAAGGGCATCCACGGGAATGCTCTGTCAGCACAGAATCTACAAGGAGAAAGAAACACGTTGCCCCTAAAACATAGCGATTGTTGTGTGTACGAGAGTTCTGCACACTCTGAGCTCTGTAATGCAGGCTGCACTGAAACCTCTTAAGGACCTCCTCCAGTGATAGGGAGGTGAGGAGATCAGGTACCTGAGTCAGCTCTCTCTGACTTAACCGGTACTGACAGAGAGGAGAGGGAGAAATTGCTGAGTCTGCTGTGCAGGGAGTTTGCCAAGTCTTAATCCAAGCATGGCAAGCTGTGCTCTGGGACAGAGCTATTTGATTTCCAAATCAGCCAGGCATCTCAAAAGGGAAGCTTTTCAAGGGCTTCTGATGTCTCAGACTCAGTATTAGTCCAAAGGCCTTCTTCTGATGTCTTCCACAGGTAGATACACTCACTTTGGAGCAGAAGCTGTTTAGTGGCCCCTACCCCTATCACATTTGTATTATCCACGAGTTCAGTAATCCTCCTAATGTTCGGAACAAGGTGCGCATTCGCAACTGGATGGATACAATAGCCAATATCAACCAGTAAGTGACTCTGTGGTTCCAAAGGTCCCTTTTCATCTTCCTCCTATTGGGTGCTCCTAGGAGCAAACCCTAGTTTATTTTAAATGATTCCAACTGAGCTTTTTAGGCAGACTTACTTGTTATGACATAAACATGTTAAAAAAATAACTAATGAAAGAAAATTTCAAACTTAAAGTCATGCATGTATTTATGTAGCATTTTATTCAGACTTAGAGAAAAATCATAAGAAATTGCATGCATGTGTTATTTTTTCAGACATGGGGGATGGAAAAGATCAAGTTAGTGACAGCCTTGAGACTGATGCTTCACTTTGCGTAAAATTGTTTTTAATCTTATAAACATTGTACTAATTACCCTCAATATACAAGGCATTTGCTCAGAAGCTTCCGTTTCTCTTTCCTTAACATGGTTTGAAAGATAATGAAGAATGTAGCATAGACCAGGTTAGACATGTTCTCTAGTTGGAGTGACTGGCGATGTCAGAGAGCCTTAGTTCTACCCTAGATGGATGGTGGACTCTAAGCTTGAATATCGAGACAGTTGCTTTCTACCCAGCAGTCTTTTTCTTTTATATATTTACTTGATTTTTTTTTTCCCTGTTGCCTCCAGAGAACTCATTAAATATGAATTCTTCCTGGAAGCCACTCGAACTGAAGAAGATTTAAAAAAGTACCCTAAGTACCCATGGGGGAGAGAAATCTACACTTTAGAGGGTAAGAATTTCCCTAGATGAGCAGCTAAATTTTAAGCTGAGCACTAGATGGGAGGGGCATGCCTGAGGTGAGACTCAGAGGGTCTTAGAACTCATCAGATTAGTGAGAGGTTTGAATCTCTGCCAGAGGCAGAGGCTGCATAAATATTGGTCTGTCTGTGTTTCTACCATCTCTGGGATAATGAGAACCTGTTGACATACAAAAAGGGAGAGAAGATAAAAATGAAGAATTGTGGTAGTTAGGAATGACTTTGAAGGCAGCTGGCTCAGTCTCTGTGCCCAGCTGTAACTGCTTAGCTATAGCTTGCTGCTGTCAGCGTTTCTATAACCAACAGAACTCTCATGGCTGACTGCTTGTTTCAGGTGTTGTGGATGGAGCACCGTATTCCATGATATCTGACTTCCCTTGGCTGAGATCACTGCGGGCAGCAGAGCCCAACAGTTTCGCCAGATATGATTTTGAAGACGACGAAGAGAGTAATTATGACTTAATTTAACTTGTATTCTCTACATTGAGTCTGCCTTCCTATGTTAAATAGTTAATATTGGCTTGCGATTTAGTGACGATAAAGAGTGTGGTTTGGTTTCCCTAAATATTTTTAGTATCTCTTCTGAAAAGGTCCTAGCTCTAAGTTTGTGCAGCAGATGCACAGGGGTCTGATGTGTCCACACGATGTGAATTCCTTCAGCTTTCCTACTTGTTTGATTGTCTTGCATATGTGTATATGCTGGAGACTGAGTTAGGGCCTGATAAAAAGCATGACAGCCCATTGTAAAACCATTAAGAATTTTACTTTTTGAGAAAGATTCTCAGATAGCCCAAACTTGCCTCCTATTATCTGTATAGCAAGTCTGGCCTTGAACACTCAACCCAAGGTGCTAGGGTTACGTTTAGCATGTGCCACCATTCGTGACAAACTCATTGATCTTTATTGAAGAATTTACAAATAATGCTATTTCAGAATTGTTCAGATGTTCTAATTAACAGCCTGCTTCTTAGAAATATTGTTGTGTTACTGCAGCTTTTTGTGATTTAAGTATAGAAACTTGGGGGGAAACTCTTAATAAAATTTTTTTAAGTTTTAGCATATTTAAATATTCACTTATAGGTAAAGCTTTGAGATAAGTATTAATAAAGAAGTAATTTTTAACCACTTGTACTTAGCATAATTTAGTCCTTTGTGCATTATTTTTAGCTGGGGACTTTGATCATGTCTGCTGTCTTATCTGATATACAAACGAACTAAGAAGACAAAGTCTATGAGCCATCCTTGCATCAGCTGCTTTATGGTACAGGAAATGGACCAAATGGTTGATTGTCGGTATTTCTTGTCTCTTTCCTGTTTCCCAGGTACCATCTATGCCCCTCGGAGGAAGGGGCAGCTGTCTGCAGATATTTGTATGGAGACAATAGGAGAGGAGATCTCAGAAATGCGCCAGATGAAGAGGGGTGTATTTCAGCGAGTGGTGGCAATTTTTATCCACTACTGTGATGTTAATGGAGAGCCAGTTGAAGATGACTACATTTAAAGAGACCTTCCCTGGCTCTTCTGGCCCAAAGCAGCCAAGAGGCTACACAGGAACTTTGGGCTTGCAATTGGGAGGCCCTGGCTCAGTTGTTATATAGGAAATATATAAGGAACATGGAAATTGTATACAAAGATTTATATATAGAAGAAATATACAAAGACACTTCCAAAAGTAATGTCTTTATAACCTATGTTTATACATCTTAACTTAAAGGAGGCAAATAATTTGAACATTGATTTTGTTCACTTTTCCAGACTTTGTTCTCAGTGTCATGTGACTGAGCCCATTTACTCTGCTCCTCACCATTGTCCCTTCAGTCTGTGCCTTTTTCTTCTCCAGCAGAGCTGTCTGAGTCAGTGCTAATGAGTGCTGTTTCCTGTGTGTTTGTTACTGTAATGCCAACTAACCCTCAGTCAGAGAAAACTGCTTCTGTACTAGGATGGACTTCTTTTTTCCCTAGTGTTTATATTTGCCATATTTCTTTACATGAACCATTCAGAAACATAAAAAAATGAATTTGAAGGGCAAATAGAAAGTTTTCAGAGCATTTCTAGTTATTTATTTCCACATTCAATTGTGTATTTGCTTTATCTTGGACATGAAAATAAACATTTAGTAAAAACTATTCTTGCCATGGACTTGAAACCATATTTTACAGTAGCACATGCCACACAGAAAAGCGGAGTGTCTGTCGTTGTGTCTAACTCAGCACCAGTGTCCACTTTCTGATCCTTTTTGAAAACGGCCATGAGATGCACAACACATAGAGAAGTGGGAGAATGAGTCATGGGCTGTTTCAGAGGAGCTGCCTTTCTCTCGTGGATGGAAGCTGCCCCATTCTGAAGTGGCCTTAACAGATTTCAGAAGCCAAAGGCCAAAGACAGAAGAAAGGGTCTGTAGAAAGTGTCAGGTCTTTCCGGATTTGTACAGCCCCTTCCTTTTTGGGGGAATTGATGAGAAAGGAAAAATCAGTCATCCATGGTCAGGACTTGGTGTTTGCTGGATAGGACGTGAATTTGCATTTCTGATCCCAACTGTATTGACTCACTAATGACAGACAGGCAAGAGTGCCAGCGAGATTCCCTGACACTCGACTCTTGGACCATATGTGCTTGTCTGTAAAGTCTTCAAAGCTTTTAAAATTCTTGACAGAGACGATTTTTTAAAATCTTAAATAAAATTAGATAGTTCATCTTTTTGTTGCATTGTTTTTTAACTCATTGTTTCACTGTTCAGGTTATAACTGCTCAGTAAAAGGCAGAAAACAAATGCAGATAATAACCTACACTCCTCAGCAAGAATCAACCTGTCAGTAGTTTTCCCCTGTGTTTCTAGCAAGTAACTCATACAAATAATGCTTATAGTGGCCACAAGAGGCCACTGCTCTTTAACTTAATTCAGTTCACCAGTCTTACCACAGACTCATGAAATACCACAGGGGCTCTAAGATCATGCTGAAGGTAGACAGCCGAAAACACAAGAGTGGAAGCCACCCCCGCATGGACTCTTAGTACATGTAAATGAACAAACAGCTAGTAGCCATGCCTTGCAGCAAGGCCAGCAACATGCTAGGGCTAGATAGTCAATAGTTTATGCTCAGTACACCGTAGACTTTCTCTGATGTGTGAAAGCCAAGAACACACAAAGATGGCCATATTCCGACAAAACTTTATTTATAGACAGAAATTTGAATTCCACATATTCACATCACAAAATATTAACTCTTAGATTTCAACCTAGACATATTAAAAAGTAAAAACCATTCTGAAGGTTTACAGACCACATCTTGGCCAATTTGCCAACATCTGATGGAGAACTGAATTTTCCATTCATTCAGTTATGTCACCAGCATTGTGGTACATTGGCCTGTTTTTAAAAGGCCTTAAAAAGTTCACAAATGACCTCTGACTGAGTGTTGGTATCAGACAGAGTCATGTATCTCATGCTGCCGGGTATATGGGTCTAATACTTTAAACAATGGCTGACACTATGATTCTTGAAGTGATTCAGAAGTCCTGGGTTCAGATTCTGACTACTTCAGACAACAGTTCTGACCTGGAGACAGTGGTCTGTAGCAGAGAGCCCATGCTGGAGCCTCACTTTCCTCATTTGTAAAATGCTAATAGTTACCTACACCCATGAGGCAGTGTGAGGAATCAGTGGGAGTGTCCAGCATAATCCCAGGTTTGTTAGAATAGGTTTATTTGGTTTTCTGGTTCCGTGTGTGTGTGTGTGTGTGTGTGTGTGTGTGTGTGTGTGTGTGTGTTTGTCACTTTATTTTCATGGGGTTTTTTTTCCTTAATATTTCCACAATGTCCATTAGACTGTATCTTAAGAGTGATCTTTGAGAACTAGTCAGGACTTGGAGAGGTCACACTTGACACTAGCATTTTGAGGAGTTGGTTACCATGCCTCCTAAACTTGTTCAGATTCAGATTAGCTGTTTAGAAAACTTGATCAAATACAGGTGTTTGGAGATTACTGAAAGTAGTTTTATCTCTCAAGGGAGGGAGAAAGTCAGGTGAGACCCATTGTGCGACTGGCTCTGCCAACAGGACCACTGCTGTGTCTGAGCTGCCACTTCATCCTGAAACCAGTCCAGCTGACCTTGAGGAAGACAGTGGGTGCAGTCAACCTTTGAATCACCTACTGTGCAAGGCTGGCGGCATGTGAAACACACGTGTTGTGAAATGATGTGTGGAGTTGACTATTGAAAGACAAGTAGCAGATAACATACAGCATCACCTTAAGTCATAAATAACAAACAAAACCACAAATTACTGAATTACATATGCCAAGTGATAAGACCCCACGCCCACCTGCCTTGAGAATGGCCTGGGGCTGAGCTGGGGTCAAGAGTATTTACTTCATCTGTTTATGGGAACTTTTTATAGTGGAAATAAATAACATAAATGCATCCTGTATATAAACCATAATTTATGTAGGAGAAAAAAGTCACTGTTCCAGGATTGGAGGACCTAATGTGTTTTCCATCCAGCTTCTGCCACATGTCCTCAGGCAAGTCATTTGCTGTGACAAAGTCTTGTCTATAAAATTGAACCAGTAATCTCTCACCACAAGCTGTTGTGGAGTTCTGAGGTCTTGTGAAAGGGTAGATAAACTCTAAAGTGCCTATAGTGACGAACAGATATAGGAAAATTGGGCTTGCATCCAAATAGGTTAAATTCAACCAAGAAGTATGGAGAATTCAGATAGCCTTCTGCGGGGCACCTTGATGGTTTGCAATCTTCAGGGTTCATCCATTTGCCTCTCAGTCTGCTGCTAACTATTGAGTAATCCCAGGTTCCCAGTACTCGAGAGCCTTCTTGTTGCTCATCCACAGATCAGAATACCCCATCGTTTAATTATGGAAACAACACCCAGAGGAGAAAACAATAGAGCAGTGCATGGCAGATCTCAGAACAGGCACAGCTCTGGATCCAAACGTGACAGGGGAGTGAAAGTACATAGACCGTGTGAACAAAGAGCTTGTCCCCTGCTCTCTCCTACCTCAGTGTAGAGTGAACACATCTTACCATTGAAGGCCATTGTGGGTGTTTAAAATAGTGGACTTTAGAATCGGGAGGACTGGGTCTGCATTCCACATCCATATTTGATAGGTCAGTCACCAGAGGATGATGCTGAGATTTGCTCATTTTTAGTGGTAGTAATTTTGGTACTTATAGTAAAGTCTTTTATGGGAAAAATCTATGGAAAGCACTTAACCAAATGTCCAGCAGAGAAGAATTTGTTAATTAGCTTCTCTTGTTGTTCTGCTACTACTATTCATTAAGTTTGAAAGGAGCTAAAATGAATGGCAGAGAAGGAGACACAGTCTGGAGTAAGTATAATCCTAATAAAAATATTAAACAGTTTGTTTCCCTTCTATCTTTGTTTCCAAAAACATGGAATGTAACTTGTATTAAATCAATGAATTCCTATAGTTTGGAATCCATTCTCTAAATTCTTTCAATACTTCCAACTCCAAGAGAGGAGGTGGGGAAACTCTACTGACACATGTTTGTCCTCCTGGATGTGCAGAGGCAGGGGACACGCTCTGAAACATCTGATTAGAATTTAATAGTTTGACTTAATTTTTATTACCTTATCTCTATGACTGCTTTCTGCTTGCAGCAAATAAAACTGATTTCCTATTTTGGATCTGATAAAAATGCTTTCTTCTGTAAGTGAAATGAAGGTATTTTATGCAATTAACAGTACAGGCAAAGCATGTATTTAGCAAAACATGGAACAGTGGCCCTTGGTGGTCCATGTTGGAACATTCACACAGATCCAGCCAGCCCAAAGACCATCTGCATTTTGTAGAATAGAGAAAGGTAAGTTCTACTCAGGGCCAGAGTCAACAGCGTGCCTGCACCCAGATCTTCAAGTCTGTCCCTGCATTGTTTTCATCCAAATCAAATACTTAGTCTTGGTTTTCTAGAAACTGTGGAAAGAGTACACTTTAGGCCAAAAGGGGCAAGACCCTGTGTTTTGGGGCAGATTTTGACCACAGCCAATCCAAGAATTAAAGGAAAAGGAAAACACTTTCCATCTCTCACCTAAGAGAGTCACATTGCCAAAGAGAAATAGCTAGATAGCACAGCACCAAGAAGACATTTTGCTCTCACTTGAAAACTATTAATGGTAATTTGGTTGTCTTTGCTTTCCAGCCTCTCATTGAGTCCCCTCCCTCACTGATCCGTTCTGTACTCCGTTTCCCAGATAATAATTTTTTTCAGGACAGAGCAAGTTGGTAGCAGGAAGTGGAAATGTTAGAGGTGAAGCAAAAATCTCAGCGTTGGTTTTGTTTGTTTACTCTCACAGATACATTATAGGTTTTATTTATTTTACTTTCTAGTTGCTAATGGAAAGCATTGGTGACCTGGACCAGCAAGCTGTTTTTCAGTGACAACATTCTAAGTGGGATGACCGATGAGAAGGTAGGAAAACTGGGGGTGAGAGGCCTTGAACAAGCTGTGGCTTATGCCGAGCAAGCTTATTAAGAAGTAAAGTGTCTTAAATATTCAATTTGCAGAGGGAGAATGGCCAAGGTCAGTAGGAAGCTAAATCAGACAATGTGTGCAAGAGAACACAGGCTGTCTCAGACTGATAACCACAGCCCTGCAGAGGGGAATACTGGCTTCCCAGGAACTGAAACCTTAACTCTTTCGAGGCCCAGGTCTCAGACTGGACCTTGCCAGTGCTCCTACAAGGACAGCAAGCTAGCATTCCTCTTTTTCTTTCATCAGGACCTGTGAGCCTTGGATCATTCTGGCTTCCAGCAAAACAAGCTGGGATCTTCAGAACTGGGCATTCCTGTGGGCTGCAAAGTCAAATGGAGAAAAAGCACAGTGAATCCCTTTATCCCTGGCATGGAGACAGACTTCATTAAACATCCAAGTGGTTGCCAGAGTAACTGGACCACAGCCTCCTCTTCCCTAGTAACATCTTAACACAGCAGGCTTCCTGAAAGAGAACCTCTCCTTGAAGCCTGGATTACTATACATCTTCTGAAACCTCCACACTCAAGCTGTATTGTCTGGATTCCTGAATGGAACTAATGCTGTACTAGCTGCTCTCCAGATAGAACGAACCCCATCTTGTCTCATGAATTTGCATTTGGTTTCTCACCATGTCATCTTGTCCCTAGTCCCTTTCTTCAGTTTTTCATGAAAAGACAGAAAGGGACTCAGATCTAAGGGGTTTACTGGTTTTCATTATGGAAGGGTACCATAGGTATGGCGACTATCCTTGATCTGCCAAGGGCTGTGGGATGTTTTGGGATATGAGACTTTCAGTGTTAATCGTAAATGGTTGGTCATGCCATTCCTTTGTGGGGGATGACCATCTTCTCAATGTATCTGAAGATGGGGAAAAGGAGAATGGCCAGTGAGTTCTCCCTTCACAGATTAATCAGGGACAAGGAGGCCATTGTCACCTGTCATCACAGATGAAGGAGCAATACAGGAAGTGGACAAGCAAGTAAAACTTTGCCTCAGCTACATGGTGAGTTTGAGGCCAGTCTGGGCTATCAAAAACTCTGTCTCAAAAAAGTCTAAGAGTAGGAAGAAGGGTGAAGGATGGGAAAGTAGGAGAGGGACAAGGAGAAAGAATGAGGAGTTAAAACAGGGCAAGGAGAACATTTGGTTGAAGCGCTGGACACATTCTGATATGGTAGTGTGCAGGCTAACGATGTCAGGCTGTGTCCACATTCCCTGCTCCCTCTGTTCACCAGAAGTAAATCAAACTGGTCTTTGTCGGGATGGGGGTGGGGTGGCATGGAGGGTGGGGACAGGACACTCTTGTGGGTCTCAAGTCTTCTCCCTCTTTCTCTTGAAGAACTAAGTTACCCAAGACAAAGAAGGTGATGACAGCTTTAGCATGGGAGAGAAAACATTTCCTGGGGTTTGGAACAAATGGCATTCTGTACAATGTGTGTAAAATGGAGCCATGGTAACTTCAAAGGCAGGGTACAATGGCAGTTCCCAATACAGAAAGATGGGCTTGTTCTTTGCTCAAAACAGAAAAAGGCCTAAGACTAGGCCATTGGGCTGCTCAGCACAGGGTCCTGATCATCATTAACAGGCAATCTTCATGGAAGCAAGTCGGTTTCCCTCCTGAATAGTTTTAATATTAATGATTTTAGAATGTGTGTGTGAACGTGCATGCGCATGCGTGCATGTGTGTGTGTGTGTGTGTGTGTGTATGCACTATGTATAGGAAACTGTGGCAGTCAGAAGAGGTGTGAAATCCCCTGGAAATGGAGTAACAGATGGTTGTGAGACACCATATGGATGCTGGGAGCCAAACTTGGGTCTTTTGCCAGAGCAACAAGAGCTCTTAAACACCAAGCCGTCTCTCTATCTCCCCACTCCCGCCCCTTAATTCTTGAGTTGTAAGAATGTTCTTTGTCAGTATCCATAGCAATCAGGATGCTAGTTCACTGTCATGGAGGAGAAGCAAACAAAGATCCTTCCAGATGATCCAGTCACTAGTATGCCAATGGGAAAATGACAGCTTTACACATGTACATGTATTTGTATACATGGACACACACACACACACACACACACACACACACACACCAGCTGTATAGAGGTCTCTTGGTAATAGATCCAAAGGCAAAACCAAAGCAGAGCCTTTAAAAATCTATCCTCAAGGGAGAACTATTACCTCAAGTAGTATGCTATGATCAAGAAAGAAAACAGGAAGGAAGGAAGGAAGGAAGGAAGGAAGGAAGGAAGGAAGGAAGGAAGGAAGGAAGGAAGGAAGGAAGGGAAAAGAAAAATGTTTGCAGCTGTAAGCCAAAATTCCTGACGCCTTCTATGTCAGTACTTGAGTGCTTCTAGATGGACATCTGGATCCCACCAAAGAATGTCCAGAAGATGGCCAGAGGGAAGAGGAAACTGGAGGTCTTCCATAGAGGGAGAGGGGTGGATGGGTAGCAGGTCATTTTCTTCCAATATCTGAGGCTTTCTGAGAGGAAGAGGAGGCCAACAGCACTGCCCCAACAGATTTGTGTGCCAGTGAGTGACAGAACTTCCACACAATTGGAGCATTCTCACCACAGAAGGGGCTGCTTTAGGAGGTAGTGAGCTCCTGTTCCTGGAGAGGTACAAGCAGAGACTGACTTCGTGTCAGTCTCCAACGAGAGTTACCACTTGGGCTCTGGGTAGATGCTGGGTCTGATGATGTCTGAAGTCCCCACAATTCTGAAATTCTTGATGTGCTAGATAGAAGTTCCATTCAATACCGTCTTCTGTGTACCTTCACTGGGCCCTGATGCCCATACTTCATGTGTCACTGGTGATGACCAGGGTCGAGTGTTTCCAGGGTATCCTGTTCATGCAGACATGAATGGGAATGAATGACTAAATGGCAAGCCATGTCTTCAATCAAAAGCATGATTCCAGCGACTCTGGGTCATTATGTATGGGCAATTTCTCCAGTTCCTGGTGATGCCCACTGTGCAAAACTGTATACCTAAGGAAGAAGGAAAGAAGGCATGAGATTTCAACATGCATCCGTCAAAGACATCAGAAATTCCCTTCTACTCTCCACTCCCCTTTCTTGCATGTATCTGAGGACACAGAGAGGTGGGAATGGAATGGAATGGAACTCACAGAGAGGGAAAACCAAAGAACCCACCTGGATCGTTTAAGTTAGACATAGGAAAATGGTGCCCTAGGGGAAGGAAATAGGCCTAGGTCACACAGAGAGTGAATGGCAGAGCCAGGGGAAGAACACGGGTTCCTTTTCCCAAAATGGTTCCTGTGCCGCTTGTCAGAATAAATCTGGAAAGAACTACAAACTGGGACCGAATAAGCCCTTTCAGTAGCTTTCTGGTGCCTGTGCTAAAATGTTCAACTACCTACTGTGGTTTCTAACTCTAGATTGTGACCTAGATTGAGGATGGGAGATGTATGTAACTGGTGTCAGTCCTCAAAATCAAGCAACTGCCGTCGTGGGGTACTCAGCTGTACCCCTTTGAAAAAATCACATCTGGCATTCCTGAGTATCCAGTTGCCTCTGTACCAACTGACAACTCTGCACATAGTCTGGAGGAGAAGCTTGTGTGTGTGTGTGTGTGTGTGTGTGTGTGTGTGTGTGTGTGTGTGTGTGTGTGTGTGTGTGGCCTGGGAAAGACTAGGGATAGGGCTCCACTAGTGTGGCTATGGGAAAGTCCTCATCCTGTTGGGTCAAGTTATCTGAATGTGACAATTTGGGAAAGCAGTGCCACATTCCTGTATGTAACCCATGTTCTGTAAGATATCCAATAGACCAATGGATTCCTCCTTGGTTCCCCAGAATGAATACTGGTGGCCTTGTGCCTTGTTTTGTCATTGGGACCTTAGGAAAGAAAAAGAGGTTGCTTTTGTCTCCCCCATGAATTAATTTTAGAGACATTTGCCATAGACAGAGGGATAAGTTTAGTCAGAACAATGATGTCCTTGATATGGGAAATGAAACAAGTAGATGAAGTTAAGTGGTGTGGGAGGTACAGGGGTCAGTGGTGGTGACAGGAAATTTTGACGTGGTCTGTCTCTCTAGGGTTTGTGGGGATAGTGCCCATGGTGCAGAAAGTAAAGAGAGGTGTGAAACATGTAACTAAGGTGTGGCCACTTTGGCAGGAGCTGTCAGTGGGGAAAATCCCAGGGTGGCTGTCTTCTTCCAGGAGTGGCAAGCCTGCTTGATGGGTAGGGTCCTCCCAGGGAGTGTGGAGATGTTTTGAGAACTACCAAAGGTCTACTACAGACATTACTAACCCTGGGAGTAACATACCAGTGGCATGGCACCGGTGAGCAGCTGCAGAGGCAGGTGTAGTGGATCCTACGAGATCTGTGGGAGACTGAAGGGGCATCCCAAAGGGAGACTGTAGACACAAGGTCTGGTGCAGTGAGAAGGGAACACAAAGCTGGTGGTCAACACTGGCCTCTGACTCAGCGGATAGACTGGATAACGAGATGAAGAAAGGGAAGTGTTGGCCTGCCTTGTTTTTATGGCTAGGGGCCCAAAAGGGGACCCCAAATATGACTAGTAGTACAGAGGTTTTCCTGGGACCACCAAACCTGGAATCCCTGGGAAGAGTTGGGTAGAGATGAGTAAGCAAATGACCCAAAAGCAACAAAAGTACCCTGTGAATCTGACCTTTGATGCAGAGAAAGGAAAAATCTACAATTCAGCATGTATGCAGGGTCTTAACAAAAGTTCAGTGTCAGAGACCATGGTGATCCAGGAGTATTGAAATTGTACAATACATACATACAACACACACACACACACACACACACACACACACACACACACACACACACACACACACACTACCCGCCCAAGGCCACATGGGGAGTTGCCAGTTGCTAGGAGCAGTTGGATACCCTGGGAGCCAGGGATAAACATAAACTGTCAACAAGCCCAACTGGGATGATATTTTTTGGCCTTGGAGGAGCTCTCATCCCTGCTTGACAAAGACCTCTAGTTGTGGCCAGTTAGGGGAGAAGCACTCACTCCTGTATGTAACTCCTCACGTATGCTTTGTAAGGAAGTCCAATATATTTATTAGTTCCCCCAGAATGAACTTTGGTGGAATTGTGCCTCCGTTTGTCACTGGGACTTTAGGAGATGAGGTAGACATTGCTGTGTCTCCCACTGAGAAGTAATTTTAGCAACTACTGGAAAAAAGACATTTCAGGTAGAAGGGGGGCACACATACAATGTTAGACTATAATCAGCTGGGCATTTCTTCTTGTACCTAGGGACAATTTCTCAGTATTGTGCTACAATGCTCTCCATTACTCAGTGCATTCTGCTGTGCAGGTTTATGCAAATGTTCCTAAGATAGATCTTTACTGGAAGTTTGAAGAATAGCAAAGGTTAGGGCAGGGGATGGGGCAAAGGAAAAGAAGGAAAAAGAAAAGTGGGAGGAGTTGATATCTGCAAGACATCCAGGACCATCATTGGGGTGAGGCAACCTTGAAGATCCCTGCGGCATCTTTTGACTTTTTACTGCCTGGGAGGAGTTTGAGCAAAGCAACAAATGGTCCAAATGACCTTGGAATAGGCTTCCTCCGGCTGGATGCTCTGTTGACAGTGTGGTCAGACTTTGCTTAATGACAGGAATGCATCCTGGAAATGTAACGTTAAGTGATGTAATCATTGTACAAACACGATAGAGGGCATCTACATAAGGCTAGATAGTGTACCCTGCTAGACTCCAAGTTGTATGATATAACTATTGACTAGGCTACAATCCTGTCCAGAATGCAGCAAACACTCTAACATACAGGAAGTACAAGGTCACCAGGAAATGAAAATTTTCCAGTTTCAGCATAATCTGTAGGAGTATTATGCCGTATATATGACTCATCAGTAACTGAAGTGCCATTATGCAGCCCACGACAGTTGACAGAAGGGGTGAGACCGCGAGACGACTTGTGTTTTGCAGCAGTAAGTTGGGGGAGAGAAGGAAGATGGTGTTGTGGCCCAGGCAATGAGAAACAATCAGATTCTGGATAGAGAGTCACCATCCTCAGTTGTACGTTGTTTTCCATTTCACAGGGTTTACCCTTGAAGCTTTTCTCAGACCTCCCTGTGTTTGTGCATCTCCCTGTCTAGAATGCTGAGCTGTTCAGCACGCTGAGACTTCCGGTGGATCCTGACAGACCTGGCATCCAGCCAGGCTCCGGCAGTCACTGACTGTGATATTTAGTGAATTGTTCCTTTCTCCTGGGCAGCCGAGGGTAGGATGTACTCTGCGCAGTATCATTACAGAGAGGGAAGCACAAAGCACAAGAGTGGCCCACTTTAGAGGCTCAACGTGCAAAGCTAACACTGTTCTCATATGTCTTCCCCTCCTAGAATGAAGAGCGTGTTATCTTGATGATCACATATGCATGGCTCTGAACTGTTCAAGTATTTTCCTCCTTTATTTTCTTTTTGGGAACACCTAGAAGACTTCAAGGACTGGAAGAATCCTTGTGTGCTCTTCCTCTGTTGTCAGCATCCCAACACCTGCTTTGTAAGCACACACTCCTTCCTGTAGGGACACCGCCTATGTGTTCCTTTACCACAGATGCTAAGAGAGGATCCGGAGAGGAATGGTTGCTAAGAGGTGGGGCTTGGACTAGACCCCGTCAGACCCACGCCTGTTGGCCTGGCTCCTGAGCAGCATTGCTTAATGGACTAACATGGGTTAGTGGCTCAGAACCACGCAGTCCTGAAAACTTGGCTGTACTCTGCTACCTGAGGTCAAAGGATCTCTGTGACACTGATTCCTGTGTAGAAAAAAAATTAATGATAATAATAAGAAATCATCTATAGTTCAATGTATTGAAAGATGAAGGTGACAGGGACCATTTTCAGCCATGACATATATGGCTTCATTTTCATAATTATTTTTCCCAACTGTGTCAGCTACTCTACTTTAGATTTATTTCACAGGTGAAAAGACTGAAGCTCAGAGCTGCTGATCTGGCTGGTCCAAGGTCACAGTGTGTGTAATGCCCCATGCTAAGCTCAAAGTACAGTCTCAAACTCTGCCAAGCTCTACAGTAAAGAAACACTTTCACTGGCAGTCAATGGCACTTCTCCTATAAAGCTCATATGAAAAGCATGTCCTGATGAGAAGGAAAACTGGTTTTTTGATCATGTGAAAAGTTCAGTTATGAAGTAGAAAGGAGTTCATCGACCTCATCCATAACTGTGGAGATATGGACAGTTGGTGACTTCTAGGGTAGGCAGAGTCAGGTTTATTTAAGGATGTGACCCCTCCCTGTTGTGTGGATCACACTCAAGGAGATTCATTCCACAGCCAGTATGAGCTAAATAATAATAATAATGATGTGATGATGATGATGATGATGACATGAAGTTGGGGGTTATGGACTTGGGATGGATCTAGGAGGACTTGAAGTGTATTCTCAGAGTAAATAAAGCTATTTTCTTTAGAAGTACTGCAACAGAATGTGGGTGACCCCTGTAGCATTTTATCCCTCTACAGTAGCCTTACCCATGAATCCTAAGGGTCTGCACCAAATATTGTGTTGGCTAGACATTCCATAGCTGTGACCAAATACCTGAGGTAGTAAAGAAGGAAGGATTTATTCTGCTCATGGCTGCAGAAGGTCCATTCCCTCGTGTCAGAAAGGTATGGCAGAGCAGAGTGGATCACATAGATGGTGACAGGAAGCAAAGTCTTTTTACTGTGCCCATACCCACAGCGTATGGAAAGGGGCTCCCAGCATTCACAGTGGTTCTTTCCCCTTAGTTAATCCTCTTCCAAAACACTGTCATACACATGCCCGGAGGTGTGCTCTGATAACCTTTGGGGATTCTCACTCAAGCTGACAATCAAGGGTAACCATCACATGAACTAATGATTCACCTGCCAGGGTAACCAGAAAGGAGATTGGAGCTAGAGCTGATGTCCCACGTGGAGGCCAGCTGGAACGACTGTCACACTCTTTAGAGGTGGAGGTGCGTTG